GTTTTTTGTTTACTTGCGTTCATTAATCTTTTCCAATTGTCAGTTGGCTATCTTTATGTGGTATCGCAACTGGTGCGAAGCTCAGCTTCGCCTCTGTGTGTTAAATTGTTGCCTTAAATTGTTACATTACTTAATTCCGACTTTTCGCTTAATATATAGCGCTCTTCTTATCTGCGACGTTTTAAAACTCAAAATGTACTTGTTCGTCTTTTTTCTCATCTTTATTTTTATCGGCTTCGTTTCCCGACTGTTTTTTTTTCATTGTCAATTTAATACATGGTTTTCCCTTATATTTGTAAGAATCGATATTCTTTCGCTTCTTGCGACAGCTCTTACTTCCTACATGAACTGACCTGGCACGTGCCAGACAAATAGATGAGAATTTTGAGCAAGTCTGGATTTTGAAATTATATTCGATTTCAACCAGGAGTCAATTTTGTTAAACTGAAGTTTTTTTTTGACAAGTTTAATTGTCGGGCTATCATTTGTCTGCTGATTTTATGTCTGCTTAGTTGCATTTTATTGCGTCATTTGAAAGTTGAAAATAGATATTCTATGATATAGGGTGCTTTAGGAAGGGTGGAGCGTATGATTTCTTAATAGTTTTGAAAATTTTTGGCTCGAAATTTTTTTTTCACAATGTTCTCAGCTGAACGGGATTCTAGCCAAGTGTTGTAGGATTAGTTGCCCCTCGATAAACCGCTTTGAATGTTTATTTACTTTTGGGTGTTGTGTTTCTTTTCCTGTACGTGCTCCATAAACAAGCTAAACTCCATAAACTTGCTCAGTTTTAAATTAAGTGGACTTGTCCTTTTACAGCACTTAAAAAGTTCCGTGCAGTACACTAAAAAACTTTCGGCCTAATATTTGTCTGATTAAGCTTCTTTCTTCTTAGTTGCCACGTCACGCAATTTTCTTGTTTCAAAAGCATTTTGTAACTGCAAATGTTTTTGATTTCTTCCTGTGAATTCTAAATTTACTGACCCTCACTTATGTTTCTTGTTTTTTTTTCGCTTTTGTTTAGCTTACATTTTCCATTCTGCCTAAATTATTTTAGATTATCTTTAATCGTCTTAATTGCAATATTTCGTGTCGTTTGAAGGGGAAAATAGTTTAAACGCTCCCTCTCCGGAAACGACAAAAATATAAAATTCGTGAAACTTCAAAGCTTTATAGTTTGAAGTCTACGATGAAAACAATTTCTGCGCAAAGGGTCGGTTTTGTTGCAGCTCGATAAATCGCTCTGAAAGCTTTTTTGACGCTGGATGTCGTTTCTGTTCCTGAACGTGCTCCATAAACAAGCTAAACTCCATAAACTTGCTCAAATTTAATTTATACTACTAGACTAATGGACTTTTCCTTTTACAGCACACTTAGGAAGTTCCTTGCAGTACACTAAAAAATCTTCGGCCTATCGTTGGTCTGATTAGGTTTTTTTGGTCTTAGTTGCCACGTCACGCATTTTTCTTGTTTTGAAAGCATTTCTATTTGTAAATGCAATAGATTTTGCTTTCTTCCTGTAAATTCTAAATTTACTGGCCCTGACGTTGTTTCTTTTTGCTTGCTTTTGCTGAGCTTAAAATTTCTATTCTGCCTGAATTATTTCTATTTATCTTTAACCGTCTTAATTAGAATATTTCGTGTCGTTTGAAGGGGAAAATAGTTTAAACGCTCCCTCTCCGGAAACGACAAAAATAGCAAAATCTTGAAACTTCAAAGCTTTATAGTTTGAAGTCTACCATGAAAACAATTTCTACGCAGCGGGAGTTTACCCAAGTTTGCCGGTTTTGTTGCAGCTCGATAAATCACTCTGATGGCTTTTTTAACGCTAGCTGTTGTGTTTCTGTTCCTGAACGTGTTCCATAAACAAGCTAAACTCCATAAACTTGCTCAAATTTAATTTATTTGAGACAAAATTATGAAGTTTTTTTGAATGAGGTTTTTCCGTCATTTTTTTGGTATTTTTTAAAAATTGTTTTGTTTTGTTTTTGTCACCTTTTGCGTGGAATCGCAAATGTTGCGAAGATCTGCTTTGCCTCTGTGTAAAAACTTAAGTATATAATCATGGAGACCAATTATTCAAGAGTAAAACCGTTGCTAATTATAATTGCAAGGAGTGCAAACCGAAGACCATATTCACTTCCAGGCAGCACCTGTTTTCCAAAAAACCGTTGAAGTAGTATCAAAAGAAGAAATTGATTTGATTCAGTACAAGAGTACTGAAGTAGAAGAGTGTCGAAAATTAACATGTGCTATTTGTTTTGAAAACAAGGTTTTACAAATGTACGATTTGAAAAAGCTGTAGAAACTAAAATTAGTCACAAGCAAAAAATAGTTTAACAATCGGTATTGTAGTTACTGAATTAATTTCAAAATGCAACAAACAATGCAACGACGCAGGCAAGGAATGCCAATCGTGGTGGGCCTCAGACCACTGATCTGTCGTTTCTCACCTTTACGTAACTTCTCCTCCCTAAAATTAAAGCCGTTGAAATGCTAATAAAAGTTGTGAGTTAATTCATGGTGTAAATTTTTCCGTAAAATTTTTGTTGAAAAGGAGAGTATCTAAGTTCATTTTTAATATGGGAACAAAGACAAGGGGTAAAGCTCTAAAATCGAAGTCGCAGGCATAAAAACTACTCTACTAATTTGACGTGATAGGTTTCTGCAAACAAGCATTTACTACAGCATCAAATAAAATTGAATTTCTATTTTGGCTCTAGAAGTATCCAAAAAGGCATCATTTGGTAAGGGTAAATGAAGCTTAACAGGAGTGCGAAACAAATTTTTGCTCACGTTGCAATAGAAAAGCGAATGCAGAAGTTCTGAAACACAATTCTGTGAAGTAATTTGAAATAAAGGACATATTGTGAAAAATTAATTCAACTGAAGCGAGTTAATTACGATATGGAGAAACTGTTGCATTAAAAAGTTTATATCTGAGACTCATTTGGTGTATTTGAACCAAAAGCTCCCTGCATGGCTTTTTATAAGAAAAATGAAAAAAGCATTAAATCAAATTCTTATGGAGTACCATAAGTTTCAACATTTGGAACTACACGAACTATCATGAAACCACGAAAAAATGCATGACTAAGGATGAAAAACCAAGAAAGGAAATGGTAAGACATGTTAAATGTTCGGTAAGTCGTAGCTCAAAAACTACCAAACCACAAGGCGAATTTGCAAAAATTATTAGAAACAAAAAAACTACGAACATCAAGAACTTCCTGAATTCATTTTTTCCATGTACCTATTAGAAACTTACCATAAAAATTGTACAAACTCCGGAGAGTTATGAAATCAATCGAATCATAGCACTCATAATTTTTTCGAAGTTTCTATACAAAGGTAGGATAAATAGATTGCAATCATTGAAGAATATAAAAAGATTCCTGATGAAAAAAAAAACAATTTTGTCATATAGTTTAAGCCAGAGAAATAACACTATCGAATCGCGGTCCGGTGACTCCCTTAAATCATTTTGTAAATAGAAAATGGCCTGGTCAAAATTGAAAAAAAAAAATTTTAAATCCAATTCATTTTTTAAAACACTTAGAAATACCATTACTTAGAATCGATTTGCTATGAAAACGCTTAATTTTAACTACAAATGAGGCGTTTAGTTAGCAAACGAAAAAATTAAACCGGAATGTTTTCAGCAGAAAGCAAATTCAGACGAAATCCAAACGATCAACAAAATATTACTTTGAAACAGTTATATAAAGAAACCGCTGCAATCTACAGTACAATTAATTGTTAAAAGAATATCATAAGTTGAAGATGACTTCAATTATCCTATGAACAAAGTTCTTTATGGGAGAAATCGAGTCCTCCTTTTGAGTCCCTTACTTTTTGCAAGATTAATAATTCAAAAAAAAACATTTTCGTGTTTGGTAGTGTTGTTGGTTTTTTCCAAAACATGAAGCTTCTGCTACTTGCACATCAAGCTCCTGTTTCTACTTTTACCTTTTGGCGATGAGGTAACGCATATGCTTGGAACGACAACGATCTTTTAAGCTTCTGAAAATTTTCTGCTTTCAAATCTGAGTTTTCGGGCTTTCGTTTATATGCTGATTTTTTTTCGGCAAAATGCGTGACATTTATTTAGGTGTTCAGGTGGTGATTTTGTGTGATTTGGCAGATGTTTTCCTTTTCGATTCAAATAATGCCCTTAAAAAAACTGGTAAAGGCGAAAAAAGCTGTGTTTGTTAAAAAAATTATTATTTTAACGTATGCAATTTCATGTTTTGGAAAAAAAAAGTTTTCTTATTGCAAAAGTTTTCCTTTTTCTCAAAAATCGAAGTTCCAATTTTCATCAAAGTGGTACCAATGAGAAGACCAACTGCTCTCACTTTCAGCTAGTATCTTTTTCACTTTGCCCCACTCTCTACAGCCATGAAAAATTTCAAAGAAGGAGGGAATTTAGCTTTTCATTTTCTGAAAAACTACACAACCAAATCTAAGTTTAAGAGTTCAGCCGAAAAACAGGCGCAAAGAAAGGGAGCGTTTCTCTGCGCCCTGTTTCTCGGCTGAACTCTTAAACTCAGATTTGGTTGTGTAGTTTTTCAGAAAATGAAAGGCAGAAGCGGCTACGCCCAATTTTCGGTCCAAAAAAGGTTATGGATTTGAGGAAAAACCAGTTTTGAACATTTTTCCACTTTCTGAAAAACAAGCCATGATGATATTGAGATTTGTCGAAATTGCCAAATCTGAGACGAAGTCGCAGGAATTTTAAGTACAGAGAAATGGCTAGAACCTAAACTTTCTAGAAAAACCGTAATGGTCTTTAGAAAATATCCAATTTTTAAAACAGTCCTTTTTCTTGAATTTTTTCAATTTTCTCGAAGTTTACCTGCGAATTTCAATCCTAAAGCCGGCTCAGGATCAAAGTGGTTTTTCGAGAAGTGATGTTTTTCTGATACGCGTTTTCTCAATTTTAGTGACCTAGTTTAACGGCTGGTCGCTGTGAGCATCATCTCTGGTATAGTTTTTCAAAATGGGCTCTGGAAAAATTTATTTCGAAAACAACGATTGTCTCCTCTAAGTAAGCAGTTTTACAAATCTGAGTGGTTGATTTGAGAAATTTTGATCTGTTTTAATTGAATTGATAATTTAGTCTTCTAAGTAGAATAGAAATCTCCGTTAGTAGAAACGCGCATCCAGTTCGATCTGATTTAATTAACACTCCTTCAGTTGTCATTCATTGGGATTGAGGGGATTTGTAGGAAAAGGAGAGGCGGGGGATAAGGCTGATGTGAGTTTTCGGGCAAAGTTGATGATAGCGGAGGCTGGCTGGTCTTCCTCGTACTCAGCGAACAGCCAGCACTGGTTCGTCTTGGCTGACATCTGGCCATCTTTCCGAGTGACCAGTCCAAAAACCCTGCAGTATATAGATACAATAAACCCAATAGAAATGAGAATATCATATTGCATTGCAAATTTTACAGAATGTTTCAACAATGGTCATCAATTTTTTGGGTGGAAAGGCGAAAGCAACAATTCCGAGTGCGTTTTGTAAATCAATTCAAATGCTGCGAATAAGATTTTGACAGAGCATGATTATCTCGAATGAAAGTAGCTGAGAACTTATGTATGATTCAATAGCAAACAAACATGCTTTTCCGAAATTTAGAGCCTTTAAGTCATTTGTTTTCAAAAAAAACATTAGGTGAAAATGTTCTGAAATAGTGCTGCTCACTTTTTGACCTGTCCCTTGCCCTGCTCGTTGTTGACCTTGACCGATCCCCAGTTGGAGGAGGCAGGGATGCCGCAGTAGAGCAGGGCCTGCAGGGAGATGCACTTGCGGAAGAACACCCTGAGAACAAACAACGCCAATCAAGCACAACGACAATCTGACCAGCCATTTGCATACGCGGTCGTGGCAATGAGATAAACAGTGGTACGCCCCAGTGAGCGGAACATCTCGCTTTTTGTTCTTTTCCTTGGGGAAAAATGTGCTGGTAAAAAGAAAAGGCATATTGTTTGCAGAGAAATGATATATTGCGGCATGCACTACAAAAGAACAAAGTGAAGGAGTCTTGTTTTGCTCAAATATCTTATTGTTATCGATCGATCACAACATTTTATTAAGTTTCGTGGGACAGAAGTTCAACGTCAACTAGTTACAAGCGGGTAGAAAACTTGCTAACTTATTATTAACTTATTAACCATATCGCAGGCAAATGAATCAATTAGTCGCGCGAAGTTGAATGGTGAAGATCACATTTTAAATCCTCTTACTTTCTGGACATGTCGGTGACTGTGACTGACTTCTGGTCCATTCTGAAGTGCACAGGTGAAGGCTCTGACGTCATCACCACCTGTCTGCTGTTCAGCTGCTGCTGCTGTTGCTGCACAGTAGTAGGAGTGTAAGGAGAGTTGGGCTGGGGCTGGTGTTCGCTCTGTTCTCTCATGTCTCGTTCCAGCTGGCGTTCGTCTTCTGCTAGACAGAACATGGCTCTGTTCACAGCCGAGGCACCAGACAGAGACTCAACATCGTAACAGCCCAGATAGAGCACCATGCAAGCTGAAATTGAGTTCAATTAGACCCGTATTGGAACATGGAGTACTTTTGAGTATACATAAAGGAAGCGTTTGTTTATTTCATTCAACAGATTTGTTTCCGAAGCAAGTTAATGAGGCGGAAAGATAGTGCACTGATTTAGCCATTTAATTAAAATACAGGGTGAGCTTAAAATAGCCTGAAATAGAAAAAGGGTAAACTCTGAAGGAGGTATCAGGTTTGAATAGGGAAGACTCTGACCTGATTGGTTGACAGATGCTACAAAATTATTCGAAAAGCTTGCGACATTACTTGGCATGATGTAATCCAAGGTTCAGAACGTCAGTAATACCGCTGATCAACTGTTAACTGCTTCAAATTTTCTTATCGGCATAGAACTATATACATTTTTTCAGATTCATTTTTTTCAGATCCGCAACTAAAAACTAAATATTTCATTAAAAAACTTAATATAAGTTAAGTATGAGCTTTTCGCGTCACTTACTCACTTTACTCGCTCCAATTAGATTAAAAAGCTGAAAAGTCTGTAATATTCATATAGCTCGACTCATTAGGATGAATTTTTTTGGTACCTGATTGATTTTGCGTGGGAACAACTTTTGTTTTTTTTAAAAAAAGGTCGGAACATAAACTAAAAATTGCTGACTGGAAAATAGATTTTGGAATTTACCTGCTGATATCTGTGCAGACCCATTGAACGATGCATTCGTATTGGTTAAACTTGTGTTCACACTGCTCGTCGTATGCTGACTGTTCAGCGAGGTGTTCGAGTTGGCTCTGTCTGGTTTGAAGTTCGCACTCAACTGATGAAGTGCCATCGAGTCTCCTCTGTTCGGCGATTTCATCCGTCGGCTGACTGAACTGATGATGCTGCCGTCTTTCATATCGTCATCGAAGGGTAATTGAACTGTGGGTATTGTTACTGCTACATGATTTGGTGATTTTGGTCCCATTGAAAAACCCCCCATATGTTGCCTGTTGTTATTATTATTGTTGCTACCGCTGCGACCAATAGTGCTTGAGTTGAAGTTAAGCGACTCCATCGATTGCTGTGATTGGTTGTATTGTTGTTGTTTGTTGTTGGTGTTGTGATTGTTTTGGGACTGACTTTGAGATGGTATATGGGGTAAGACTAGTTTGCAAGGGAGTGATATTGCTGTTCGCGCGTGCTGTTCCACTAAATCGGCCAGCGATTCTGAAATTGAATGGCATAAACAGTGTGATCGTTTTAGGAAAATAATTTTTTTTTCAAAGCAGTATCATAAAATTGCTAGTAAAAGATAAGTTTTACTTACTGGTTTATCTGCTATTATGAAATTAATCGAGGAACATTTTTTACGAACAAACATTACAACTTATTTGAATTAGAAAGCAAGTGACTTGAAACCGGGAATTATACTTTTTCCCGTAAACAACTTTTCTTACCTCTGAAGATGAACTTGAAGTTGCTTTATTAGTGAACCTTAGCAACGGCGAGACTGCTTCGCATTTGGCTTAGGATTTTTGCGGTTGTCTCTGTACCCTTAAGTCTGGGGTTGGAGTCCCGGGCGGATCTTGCTTTTTTTTCAGTATGTATGAAAATATGAAAAAATAATTCCGGGAAAAGTTGAATTGTCGGAATTTTGTTTGTCTGCTTATGTTTTGTCGGCTTTATTGTAGAGTTTTCTTGTGTGTTCAGCAATTTTTGTCGTAGATGCAATTGCTTTTGATGTATTTTAGTAAATTTAATAGCCCTGACTTAGTGTATTTTCTTTTTTGTTGTTGTTTTTGTTTCGTTTAGAAGCTTCATTTTGCCTTAACGTTTTCGGCTTATGTTTTTTTGGCTTAGTTGCCTCGATTTATATCGCTTCAAGGGCAAAAATTTATAATAATAAAAAATCCGGTAATTTGTCTTGCAACAGTTCAAAGTTTTAAAACCTAAGTTTTTTAACGTCAACAATTTTTATGGCATTTTTATTAGTTTTTAGGTCAATAAACGGCTTAGAGTAGCCGTTTTTGGCCTAGTGTACGCATAACTAGCTTAGCTTTCGCTTGTTAAAAGTTAAAAGATTTGCAAATGCTGTTAGTTCTGTTTCTTGACTATATTTTTTTAAGTTTTTTATTTTATTATTTCCGTCCTAATTTCTATTCCTTAGCTTGCAATGCTGCGCTTGCGTTGTATTGCAAGTGATGCGAAGTTCTTCTTTGCCTTTGATTTAAATGTGTGTTTTTTAGTTTTATCTCTCCACTCATACTTTGACATATTTTGCACCTGATAAAGTATCAACAAGATTGTTTGTATACTCGGGCAAGCCCTGAATGTTCAGGCTGCCCTTTGCTAGGTCTTAAATATGTTTTCCTTTGCAAGTTTTGATCAGCTATATTTTTTGGACTGTCAATGTCAAATTTTATGTGTTAAAACCTGAGCTTGATTTCAATTAGGAACAATTTTGTGTTTGGGCTAATATTTCGTGAAATGTATCAGTTCCTACTGGAATGATTCTAATTTGCCGCTTTTGCTTTGATAGGAAAAAAATATTGCGCGTTACTTATTTCAAAAGGAAATTTAGGCTATATATCAATCCCCATGAGTTTACAAAAAAATAGCGAAACAAAAGTTAATTTTTTTTTCAATTTTGAGCTTAAGGCGGTAATATTTTTCAGGCTGTTAAAAAAGTTGTCGAAAACTCTCAAAGCCGAAACTTGTCGGGAAGAATAAACTACATCCAGCACACACATACTGTCACTTTCTTCGAAAGTCGGAACAATTAGACTGCTCGTATGAAGGCGAGGCTTTTAGTTTTATAACCGCTCTTTATAACATTTGAAGAAATTTTTTCAGTTTTTTAAATACCTCTTTTCGTTATGAAAAGTACAAAAAGCTGTATATGGCTTCTAGTAATGTATTTTTAGACCGAATAGATAACATCGTTTCAATTTGGAATGATTTCTCAGCCGGATCAATTAGCGTTGATAGCATGAAAATATCGTGCGTTTAATCTCAAAGTGGCAATTTTAAAACCATTACAGCTGTACAAAACATATTTTGTTCAGCAGTATTAAGAAAAAAATGTAATTTATGTTTTTGACATTAATTTATATTTTTGATCTGATTTTCAAAAAAAGTGACGGAATAGTTGTGGAATTCCGTCAAGAGTTAGTCTTTTTATAGACACTTTTTTATCATCGGAAAATTATCAATCTCTTGAGCTCAAAGCTTTAACGGTATTTATCCTGCGAAAGTTTTCCGCAAAGTAATCGGGGCGTGAAAATAGCAAATTTGACAAGTTTGGAATAATTAAGGGGCAATGTATTTCGTGCTATCAAAGAGTGAGCCTCGAACTAAATCATTCTTCATTGATTTTAAGCAGGTTATTCGACTTTTCAATACGTTACTAGACACAGAATTTATCACTTTGTGTTTTAGTTAGCGTGTGGGGAGACAAAATGGACAAAACAACTTTTTAACTTCAAATGTGCAAGATTCAGAGTTTCGCCCTGATACGAGAAATCTTGATAGATTTTATCTTTCAAGAGAAAAAAACACCGAGCATAAATATTTCAGCCTTTCTTTGAATTTCTAAACAATGATAGAGAATCTTGTAAGTACGCCCTTCATGTCATTGGATAAAAAAATTGTACAAAACTGAAAGCCGGCCTTACTGTAATGTGGTTCAGCAGGGCTCCCTTTGATCCTGGCTCCTCTGACCGAGGTCTCAATTAAAAAATGTCGGATCGAATCGCTGGAACTAGAGATCGCTGTCCCATTGACCCCAGACATGTCTGTCTTAATGGCAAGTCCATAGTAGCCGGGGTAAGAGGTGCTGTCCCGGATGATGAAGCTGCCAACCGGTTGACGACAGAGTGCGGCCATGATGTCGTCTCGGGACATCTTGGGTCGATACCATAGCTTCGAAGTTTTCTCACACGTGGCAGCCAGATTGTACGAAGTCTCTGCCACAAAAAAAAGATAATTTTTAATCAGTTCTTGCTATAATTACATAACTAGCCATCATTAAATTAATGTTTTGCAAAAATAGCATTATCATTCATCCTTATATAGTCGGTACAGTGCTGATTTAAATTATCCGGAAAAAAAACGAACAAAACTTTAACTTCTAAGGCGTTTTTCTCAAATTGGGTTAGGATTAGACAAAAAGGGAGATTAAAAGTTGCTTAGAATTTCACCAAAATTAATATAGTGCAATTTTTCTCCAAAATTCTCATCCAAAGTTTTCCCCAAAAATGGTTCTTCTTGACTGTTTTTGTTAAAATTTAATTACGCTAAAACTATCAAGTTAATTGATAGAATAAGTTATATCAAAAGAAGCCTCTTACACGGCCCAACAAATTTCTAGCAAGGTTAAATCTCCAAAAACCTGTATAACAGCAAAAAATTTTGCTTGATAGTCAATAAATGTGGTTTTTACTATATAAAACTCAAAATCTTTGCTTGAAAACATTTTAAAATAATTTGCTCAATTTTAACCCTGCTAGAAATTTGTTGGGCCGTGTAAGAAGCTTCTTTTGATATAACTTATTCTATCAATTAAATTAATTTTGGTTAAATTCTAAGTAACTTATGTTCTCACTTTTTGTCTAATCTTAACCCGATTTGAGATAAATGCGTTTGAAAATTCAACTATTGTTCGTTTTGTCAGTTTAATTTAAATCAGCACTATTCAGCGCGTGCAAACCTCTATTGGGTCTCGAAAGCTCTCAATTTTTCAGAATTGTTTTCAAAACTTTCATCAAATTGCATTGATGAATTTGATTCTATTAGATAGCACACCGTTATCTCTTGCGTGTCTAGCAGAACTTCAAAAAAATTTTAGTAAAAAATTGAAAATATCCTGGATTTACCTGGTGAAGAAGGCACGCAGTAAAGATTTTCCGTGTGAACAGGTGAAGTTGGTCTGAAACATACAATATCCTTTCAGGTTTCGAGGCAATTTTTGGTGAAATTAGAGCGTCTCAACTCACATGAAATGAGTCGGAGGTGATTTTGCATCGCCAGAGTTTCCTCCAACATTGTGATAATTGATGTTCACTGTTCGCATTGATGAGTTCTGAACATATGCAACTTTTTACTTTTTGTCATGATTCCTCCAATAATAATATTTTAAGCTTTAATTTTATAATTATTTTTTAAATTTAAAAAATTCTTTGAAAATTGATCGAATATCTTTCAAACAAATGTTAAAATTGTCCAACATAGTTATTACTAAACTAACATTTGAATTCTGAGAAAGCGTACCAAAAATATTGATTAGTTTTGTACAAACTGACTTATTCGTGAGCAGACTTGAATAATGGTAGCTTACTTTGTGTGGCAGCGTATCGTTGATGTAATCGGCGTCACTTTTCACCGAAGCTGTACTTCGAAATCTGAAGCTACTGTCCATTGAAGCCAAACTCTGGTTGTCAGGGTGGTGCCCAAAATGATGCATGACGTCATTACTAGTAATGATTGACAGTTCGTTCAGATTGCCGCCCATTTTACTGGGACTTCCGGGCCAAGCAGAATCATTAGCATCAGCCGGAAATGTAAACTGATTTGGGAACGGCAAGTTATCGAATCTAGCGGGGTTTGAAAGGGGAGAAATTACAGTCGGTTCCTCTGATCCCGATCTCTTGAAAGGCATGTTTCCAAAATTTTCTGGCCTCGTGCTACGTAGGAAGCTACGACTTCGAGCAGGGATGGAGCCGTTGTTTGTCACTTCATTTTGTCGAGGTATTTGTGACCTTTTAGAAGATGCAAACTCGTTGAAAGCATTTGCTAAGCTCCCATTTTTTGCGTAGGAAGAACCCGTGCGACTGGAGTCAGGGGTCCCGGGGTCTCTCTCGGGTGAAAATGCTCTCCGCCCGTCGCCCCAGTGAGATGGGAACTGTGGGTAGTTGGTCGAGATTCGAGCAGATGGTACGAATGATGACAGGCCAGTGCGTGTTGTGGTCGGAAAAGCGGGCTCCTGACTCTTGCCGAAGGACTTCATGCTTGGCGGAGGCCCTAAACCCGAACGTGTAGTGTGTTTCTGTTTCATTTCCGACTTCTCTACAAAGTAGTTGATAAAAAAACTAAGAAATAGCAGCCCATATAAAAATCACAGGAAAGTTTGACCGAAAACTCATAGAAATAAAATAGGAAACAATAAGCAAGTTTGACAACCTGAAGCTTAAGGACAATAGATTTATGAGTTTTAAGTAAGAAACGCTAATAAGGTTAATTTTAAGAATTCTAGTGAAGTTCGAAATTAATTAAAATAACTACTGGCCTTAATCATTTAGCGGTTTTTTGATTGAGATCTTATAAAAGTGTTCCAGAAATAGTTTTTATAGGAGTCTGTTATACATGGTACACAAGGGAGCAAAAGCTTACTTGAACGCAGTCAAGAGATCAATTTATAAAAGAAAAGTTTTGCAGAAAATTTGAGTAAAATTAAAACACTTCACGCAAGAAAGCAAGAATCACAAAATGCCATCTGCTTTACAGACCGGAAAAGTAGTATGTAATCAATCATATATTTTGGTGATTTAAAAAAGTTTTGTAAACCCTAAAAATTATGTTCTTGGATTGTAATGAAACTTTTGTTTGAAGGCCTTCCTAAGCTTTTGCAGGTGTAAGTTAGTAAAATTTAATGGCATGTTTAGAATTAAGTCTTTTGTTGTTCATAAATACAGATAAATTTCTCGGTTTTATATCGAGTTATTACTTGAGGTAAAACCGAATGCAGCTGGGTGAATTCCAAAAATTCAGTCGCACCCCAACCGGCAAAAGCCTTGTTTTGGGGGAACTCGGAACAAAACAGGGCGCTTACCAACAGTGCTGTTTGTAAACAACCCCAATTCAATGAAGAAAAGGTAGCCAAAGCGTGAAACGACGCCAGCCCAAATTTTGCCCGAATAAAACTATTTGAGACCTATTTACCAATCGGACAAATTCAGAATTAAACTAAACACTTACACCTATTAGTGGATTGCGGATTAGAATTAGATACGGTTAAACTGTATAATAAGTCAAACGGAGGCTTCAAGTATTTGAGGGGTTTTGTTGAAAGCCGAGCTAGTTTGGGTCATGTTAAGAACTGGCAATAAGCTCTTTGGAGAAGTCTTGTTTCAGTTTGAGAGAAGATAAAAAATCTATTCAATTTCCAAATCCGGTTGAGTAAAAGACGGACTAGATACACTTATTGGCAGCTCCATGTAAGCTTGGCGCGCAATTAAGCAAAGGTATAAATCAAAGTGGGTAATTTGACTTGTTATTTCCACAAAAGTTGATCTTTTCCTCGGCCTAAATAAACGCAGCTTTCAATCTTTTGTCGTCCGAAGCTTAGTATAAACACTTGTAACTGGCGGAGGAAAATATTGAAATTTTTGGGTTGCCGGGTAGTCTTGAGGGCATGCGGGTTCAGCAAAACGCCAAAGTTATCAGCCCTACTCATGTAGATTACACTTACACAGTCTTCTGAAGTATGGCTAATTCAGTCTAGTTCATTTTGTAGTGCTAAAGCAATTAGTTGGAGCTGTGAAACTCAGAGAAAGGTTAAGTAGCTCCAATTCAGATCAGCTCCTCGGGCTTCGCCCCCCTCCCCCCACCACCCAAGGGGTCTCTCTTTGGTACTATTGTACGACATGCTTTTTTTAAGCTCGCCCATAATTTTGAGAGGAGCGCGCGTTAACAAACGCATTTTTTTGGTCAAAACCTTTCAAAATTGTTGTTAGTCTGTTTTTTTTCTAATCTGTTTTTTTATTCGCTTGCCACGCAGAGTTTTTTTCAGAATAGGATCATTATAGTGTTTTGGGAGAGCTGAGAAAATCAACAAAGGTCAAAAAATAATTCAATAAAATTTTGCCCCCTCTCTTTCCCTCAACCAATGAAATAAGACACTGAACAACTTTTTTTGGAGTATCTGGCTCATCTGTTTCTTTTTAAATTATCTTACTTTCAAAAAAATTTTCATCGAGCTTCATTAAAACATAGATGCACAATTTCAGTTGACGTTTTAATAGGTTAGAGAGGCTGAAGGTTGAATCTGAGAAAAGTGAGAGGTAATGAGTGGGAGGTCCAAAGCGAATTGTTTGAGCGATTCTAAACTGCTTTCGATACAAAGATAACATTTGTGAAATGCATTTGTTTTCAGAAATTGGTCTAAAAATCTGTTGGAGATGTATCGATTTTCTATCTAAACCACCCGATTGTAGAAATGACCCCGAATTGTGAGTCATTCGTCACTTTTGCTCTGTTTTCTTCTGACATATCTTTTTCTGGATAGACGAGAGACTTATGCATAGGTTCCACGCAACAATTGGGCATCCAAGTGGTTGATTTCAGTGTGCTCTGCTCTTTGACATGGAAGAGCATTTGTATCAGCTGAATGAATATAATGAGCACAAAAATTGTGGATAATATTTTGAAGTATTCTAGGGCAAAACTCCGATCTTTTTTATTATTCACGACAGATTCCATTTTCAGTTTTTTTGACGTGTTTTATTAGCTCATTTTTTCCCTACGTTTTTCACTTTATAGTGAAAATTGTCAGTTTAGTTAATCGCTTATATGAATTGGTCGTCTTGTCACAGTCATTTCGAGGCCAAGCTGTGCAAATTTTAGAAGCACTAAATTGTGTGTGTGTTGGTTGAATTGAATACGGAGACAAATTGGCGTTCACTAGCAATTACGTCGTAAGTTAAAATTTGTAGGCACGTTAGAAAAACCTTTAAAAAACAAGCTTTGTCCCGAATTACCGTTTTGTTTTCTGCGGATTCCACCATGAGCCGATTCCAATGACACATTGTTTTCTTGCAACGCAATCCAGGAATTTTCAATGTCACTCAATCTCCAAATTGTACTTAGATTTCTAGTAATGCATACAAAAACCCTGCACGGGATTGCAAGATATTTTTTTCATTGTCTAATTTTGTGTAGTTTTAACAAAAATGTTTATAAGCTAGTTGACAATAACTACATTTATAAAATATAAGAATTTGTATAATTATGAAGAAAAGAATATAAATTCAACAAAACTGCTTGTACCAGGGCAAAGCCATGAATGATCTGACCATCTTTAAAGGTCTATGGATTAGTTTTTGTCTTTAAAAGCATTGATAGAATTTTCAAAAAATATATATATATAAATTTTGAGATTTTTTGAAAATCATTCCCCACACACTATCTAAAGAATAAAATAATATATTTCGCATGTAATAAAGTCTAAAATAGACCAAATAGCATGCCTCAATTCAATTTGGAACAATCTCTAAGACGGATTGAATGTCTGCTTACGCGTTGATTGTACGTTAATTGTTCAGCACGTTAACTGTTCAGGAAAATAAACGTCGCAGGGGAAATATGTATATTTTAAAACTGAGCTCAAAGCAGCAGTATTTTTTTGATGATGTAATCTAAAAGATTCTATCAAATATTGTTATCGTTCCGACCATTGAAAATGGGGAGGAACTGTGTATTCGGGTGCGTTTTAGTTTTTTGTTTTCCACGCAAGATCGTACCACAAATAATTATCGGACTGGGTTAAGTGATATATCATATAAAAGCCCTTACAGTCGTGATTCGAACCATTTTTTATACAAAATTAAAAAAGTTTCCCAGTGTCGAGAAAAACCGGTTTGAAATTTCTGATTTTTGCATTATTTTGAGCGAATCAAGCAAGCTAGCAGCCTTATTTTAATTTCTTAAAAGCTAAATAACTTGACTTTAGCGTAAAAATTTAATTTTACTTGAGAAACATTAATTAACTTTGAGTATTTTAGCGCCTTTTTCGAACCGAAGTTTTCAACAATTCAAAAAACTGCTAAAAAGCTGCTAAATTTTTTTTTTCTGAAGTAATTTTTCTACAAAAATTGTTTTTCAATTTGTTTTTTTTATCATGACTGTCGAATAGTTTCATATAGAGTTCAATACCGGCTAAGCCATGATCGCTTGGTTGCTAAAAATGAGAGGTGAATGCAAGCAATTGGCTGCTTCAAATTGACTAATGTAAGTTTTGTGTTTGAAGCACTGTTGTGAATTCGTTTCCTTATGACCAATCAGGCTCATGTTTTTTCTGCTATTAGGTTTTTTGTGCTCTTGGACAATGTTGTTTCTCAACCCGGGTTCCCCAAAAAAGAAATCATTATGTGGAGCCTTAGTTGCTCTTTTTTGTCAAATATATCCTACTTGTTACTTTCCATGTTGCCCAATTACAATGAAGTTCGGCATTTAGATTAAAAAGCAACTTGTGCATTCCGTAGATTGTGTTATGAATCCAATTGTTATTGTGTAAAATTGATGTCTCTGGCGCGAAAAAAAAACCATATTGAAGTATATTGTAGTTTCGAAAAAAAACGCAATAATTATGCCTGGGGTAGTTTTTGCAGTCAATTGTCGGCGATCGAATAAATAATTTTTTGATAAACTTTTTCATACCCCATTGAAAACATTGATTCGCTAAAATCATATATAAAAAATGCTCTACCTCCATTTTTTTACAGTGAGTTTGCCAGCAATCATTAGTTCTGGGAGTTTGAAAATTGCCATGCTCTGGACTAACATATGCGCATTTTGAAGATTTTATTCATAACAAAACTGTTCCAAATTGAATTGAGGCTAGCTAATCGGCCGTGTCAATTTCGTACGGCTCAAGTTTTTGCTTATGATTTTTGATTTTGTCCAAAACAAATAGTTTTTTAAATATGTTTTGCCCGGAAACTATTCGATATGGATTAAGGGGCAATCAGAACCTTCAGGGCTTTGCCCTAATATACGAGCAGTCTTGCATGTTTTTTATAATGATTGCAAACTATTTATCACTAGCCAAACATATTCTATAACTATAACTAATATTTATTTTTATTACTGTAAAGTCTGACTGTATGCAATCCGACCACCTTTTGATAGAACGAAATAAAGTTGATCTCCAGCTAATCGCCTTAACAAGTATTTATTATGATTTATTGAGACCTACGAATTAAGAGTAATAACAGGATCAGTATAAGACTAAGAAGTTGCACGAACTTATTCGGCCGAAAATAGATAGCTTGACAATCAGACGGTGTACTCCATTTGAAATTATTCTGTGAAATAATGACCAATTCAATTGGGAACAACTCAATATAGTTCTACAATGTTGTTCTTAAACAGGGGCACAACAGCGGTTCGCCGTGATGAGCTTTACAGCTCTTGTATTGGTCCTTTCCTCCGTGGATAAATGGTCTTAATTCAAACTCCACTTACCGAGAGCCAAGTCTTGCAGACTATTGACAGCCGCATCCAACTCCGCCAGAGCGTTGCCCATATCTAGCTGTTGGTGGGCGTCCTCTGTGACCTCACGCGAGGGCTTACTCTTGTTCCTATTGGCCAATTTCATCATCACGTCATCGTCGGGAGGGACCTTCTTGTTCCAGTGGAGACTAGTGGGTGATTTGGGCTTGGGGGCGATGGGGGGAGGGGTGGATGAGGCGGTGGGTTTGAGAGATAGTGATCTGTTCAGGTTCAATTTCAAAGATGATGTTCTTTCGAGTTTAGACGACGGAAGCAGCGTCTCCGCCGGTGTCAGAATACCTTGGAAAGATTATCTCATTTCATTCATTGGCTTCAAAACTTTTTTTTCGGAGCAACAAGATAATGTAACACTGCACAGGCGCAAAAAAGCCGAAATGGTAAACAGAGAAACTCTTTTCTTCTGAAATCAAGATATCAGCCGAATACAATGACAAATTAACTTGCGAAAAGATCTTGAAGCAGTCGTTAAGAACGTGCAACTGTTCAGAGTTGCACAAAAAGGATTAAGGCAACAGTAAAAACGTTTGAACTTTAGTACGTTTGATATGTTCGAGCTAATAATAATTTGCAGCTTTTATTTATCTGCAGATAAAAAGTACTCGTTGGTTTTGGCTGAGAACTTCGGACGTACGGTTGATTGGAAAAGTAAATAACGAGGAGTGATTTTAAAATAAACTCTGGATTAACTAAATACTCTGGCAGAGAATTCTCAACGCAAAACAAAATCTCGCGAGACATGGAAAAAACGAACAAGCCCCGTTTCTGTCATAAACACTGTTTGAATTGCTCATATATCCCACGTATCATTTGTTTAGTTATTTATCTGGCGTTCGTGTGCTTGGTATGCCTGGGGTTGAGCCAACTTGAAACTACACCAATTATAAAGTAAACAAATTAATCTAGCAGTTCTACTAACCGGAGGACAATTGAGAAGTTCTGCTGGGTTCGAAACTGGAAGTGTAGTAGTTTCTGGTGGAGTGGAACTGGTCGTTCGGCTGGCTCAAGGGTGACAGGTCCTTGAGAGTGTTTCTTAGTCCCCCTGAGGGTCGACTGTTTAGCCTTTGTTCTTTACGATCCACCACCGGTGAGTTAGAGGTCGTTCTTGACTGTTGTTGCTGCTGGGAAGTTGAGGGTCGCGATAGTACAGGGGACTGGAGCGGCAGAATGAAAGATCCACTCTGGTTGTTGAAGATGGTCTCTCTCCACAGCTCCTCCTTGTCCAGAATGTTGTTCACTGCTGCACTCGTAGACAGGCTTCTCTGTCGTGTGCCCTTAGTTTTCTAAACAGTTTCATATATCAACTCATCAAGCTATCACTTTGAAAAACAGTGAGAGGCGCTTAGGATATCGAGAATAATTAATTTTATTATAACTTTCTTTTAAAAAAAAGACGGAAACAGGAAAAATTAACATATCTTTGAAAAAATTATGACTGTTTGATCAACGTTGTTGCATAATGGCTATTTAAACAGTGAATGACTCCATTTAAAAGCATATAACCGTTTTTGATTTAAAAAACAACGCCAATCAGTTGATGCTTTTCAAAAAAAATTCCGGTTCAATTTAAAATAGAGAAATTATCTGCTCACTGAAAAGCTTCCAAAAAAATAGGACAAAAATGTTGCAACCGACTAGCTGGACCAAACTTTGTTTCGATTTTGTTACTTTTTCTTCAATCGGTTAAAACACTGATGCCAGTCTTTGTTAGTTTCCTGATTTTGATTCTTGCATTTGCAGTGTATTGGAACCGCGTACTAGACTGTTTTAACAAAATAAAACGAGTCTTCGCCATCGAAATGAAAACAAAATTCTGTTTTTGGATAAAATAGAAGTTCCAATTCCTAATTGTTTCGTTTGTATGTTTTGAACGATTCCCGAGTCGAGATTTTTCACCAAATTTGAAGCAAGATTTGAGCGGTTTGAGCTGTTTTTTAGACAATTACGCTCAAAATCTTGCTTCAAAATGAGCGGTTTGAGCGGTTTTTGAACGGTTTATCTTAAAAAAACCCGCTCAAAAACCGCGCAAGATTTGAACGGTTTTGAGCGGTTTATCTAAAAAAAAAACCGCTCAAAAACCGCGCAAGATTTAATAATAAAAAGTCGACCACAGAGGGATTCGAAACCCAATCTTCTGATTCGAAGTCAGACGCCTTATCCGTTAGCGCATGCGGCCCTGAAAATAGTGTCGCGCAGCGAAGCCAATATAAATTACGCACCACAATGAATACTGAATACTATGCATTCTAATTCATGCTTTTGAAATTCCTGTGACAGTGATACGTACCTCAGACCACAGGTATCCATAGTACTGTGCATCGTATCCGTCTATATAATCTTGGTCGCACCGTCTCCGCTTTGGTCTGCAAAGACGCGCCGTCTCCACCTCGGTCGCGAAAGTCTTGAAAGTGCACATTTTGGTCGCGCTGGCCAAACGGTCGCGCCGTTGTCTTTGGAGTCGCGCCGTTTCCGCCTAGGTCGCGAAAGTCGCGCCTTAGTTTTTCGGTCGCGAAAGTATGGACATGAGTCTGGGACCTCGACCCGGGAAGACCGCTCAAAAACCGCTCAAATCTTGCTCGAAAAACCGTTCAATAATCACCGCAAGAAATGAGCGGTTTTTGAGCGGTTTTTTTTAGCAAGATTTGAGCGGTTTGAGCGGTTTTTCTAAAAAAAACCGCCCAAACCGCTCAAATCTTGCTGGAAAACCGCTCAAACCGCTCAAATCTTGAGCGGTTTTTGAGCGGGATCTCGACCCGGGTTACAATCAAAATCTTGAGTGTTTCAACTAAAATGCAACCCCATTGTTGTTCAATAGGATGTTTGATTACCATGCAGTGATTGAAAAAATTAAAATTGAAATTTAAATTAAAATTGTTCAGCAAAATCATAAAAGTTGTTGGTATCATCAATTTAACATTTTCTGAAACTAACTAAAATTTTCTTTAGCAATTATATTTTTCTTAAGCCTGTTTTTAGTATTTTTCTGCAATTTTTGGTACTCTTTGGCATTTTTTTTGAGCATAACTATTTGCACCGAAATCTTATCAATTTTGTCGTGAAAACTTAGATTGTTTGCTTTTTCTACGGAACTGTGAAAAGTAAAATCAAACTCCAGCAAACAGTCGCTCTCTTTCCATGACCTTCTAAAAAAACTTTGTCTCCAAATAAAGCCCAAAATTTCAAAGTTCTTTGCCGTTTATCGTGTGATTGTTACTTAAGTTACATACAAGCCTTTTTTGGTGCATTACTGTGAATATGAGCGTGGATATTGTAGATCTAATGGAATGTTTGGACACTTTCAAAGATCAACCAGGGATGATAAGCATAATCAAAGGATTGCAAAGTGAGTTCGATTTTTTAAAATTCAAATTAATTGGAAAAGAAAAAAGACTTGCGTATCTAGAAAATTACGTTTCGCAAATAGATAAAGCTCAAAGTCAGGACTTGGTCTACATTGTAATGAAATGGAAGATTTAAAATTTTTTTTGTTAAAAACAGAAATGTACAATAGCAAGGATACAATCATTGAAAGTAATCCTCCGGAAAAGAAATGTGAAAACCTTACTGAGTGTATTTGTGCCTTTTTTCGAGATAAACTTCAGTCGGATGTCACCCCTACTGAAAATAAAACTTGTTATTATCTGGATAAAGATAACGATTCTGCAAAAGTCATCAAATCTGTTTATTTCCACCAGAAAATTTTTTTGTGGAGATCCAAGAGACAATTATTCAACCTGAAAAACAAGAAAAAAAAACCAGCTTACTTCACTGAATGTCTCCCTCCCCAAAACCGTAATCTACTCAATCTAGCTAGAGATAAGGGTATCAAAGCTGTGACTCACAATTGCAAAGTGCAGCTTTTTGTAGCAAATGAAAATGGTAAGGTTACATTTCGGCCTGTTTATTCATCAAAAGACATTGAGCAGCTTGAAAAGGCTGCTGTTAAAATGCAAAACCGGCAATCAAGATTACCTGATGTCGGTTCGGCAACTAACGGAGCACGTGTATCCAGTAGTAATGGTGAAGTTACTCAGCGCTATAACACTGATAGAAAACGTGGTCATGGTAATTCGTCAACGGGCTACACGCCTGAAGGAAAATCAGTTGTGTAAAGAAAAGGTTAACATGTACAATGAGAGGGCTTGTCATTGTAATATTAGTGTTTTTTGCAGACAGTTTAATTTCTTGGTATAAAAATGGAGAAAATTTTGTTCAACATTAGGAAGAAGTTTGAAATTCTCTCTCTTGAAATCAGATCTCTTTCGAAAAATATTGACGCTCTTTCGTGCTATTTGCAATCAAATAATCCTAACCCGACTGTTATTGCTTTGAATGAAACTTAGCAAACAAATGAAACAGAATTTTAAAACATTGATAGCTATCAGTCTATCTTTGAATCAGCTTTTAAAAACAAAGCATGCGGCGTAGCAATTGATACCAAAAATTACGTAGATGTGATTGAGGTCAACTTAGACTTTAATGTGTGTTTTGACCTTATCTTTATCTTACTGAACATTAAATAAAAAGATATAAATGTCTCGGCAGCTGCCATTTATAATTCTCTGAGTATCAGAACAATTTATGGATGATTATGAGGATACCATTACATTGTGGGAAATTTTAATATCGGCACAAAATTATACAACAAACCATTTTAAAATTATGAGAAAACCATTACATTGTGGGAAATTTTAATATCGGCACAAAATTATACAACAAATTAACGCACAGTTTCTTCCTTTTGAACCAATTGTATGGGTTTTTTTCAGCTAACACAAAAGCTCCGACAAGAATAGGAGAAACTCGAGAGAGTTGCATTGACCTTGTTATAACTTATCATGATTTGACCAATTTAAGCACTTATGTTCTACCTTGTGATATAACTTATCGTTATATGCTTTGACATGTCACCAGCTTAATTCTAAAGCCTGACAAAAAACACTCCTTCTGACTGGCGTAGGAATCTTGGGAAAATTTTGGATGATGAGACATTCTGCAAATTTCTGGAAAAATTGAAGTATTTTTGGATAAAATTGATTGGAATATTAACGATATAGTTTATCTAGTTGATTCAACAACAAAGCAATCCAACGTAAACAGGTTTTTCCCTACCAAAAAATAAACTGCAAAACCAAAATTTTTCCAAAATCCCCGGTTTAAAAGCGCGATATAAAACCTTGTTCGCAAAAAGCAAAAGTGCAGAGATTTTCCATGCTTACTAAACTCAGGGCTGACATTGAAAGCTACAAAAGTGTTCAAAATCAGACAAACAAAATGATAGCTGATAAAGAAAAAGCGTATCAGCCTGGTAAAATTGATAGATTACTTGAAGACAAAAACAAGGAGTTCCTCAAATATGTTAAGCGACTGCGTGAACCTAACATAAAAGTTAATGACCGTCAGCTAGATGCATAACAAACTAATGAATAATTTTCAAGCATAGGAAAATACATGAACGAAAAATTAGAAATTGTTTGTTTTCAACCAATTTATCAGAATTAACAAACTCCAAGTTTCTTTTCCCTGTAAAAACTTCAGAACTTTTTGAAAATTTAATTCATTGAATAACTCAACCGCTAAAAGTGTTAACGGCATCAACAACTTGTTTTTGAAACTATCATCTCCCGTTCTATCTGAATATTTATCTGTTTGTTTGAAAATGCTATAGTCAAGGTTGTTTCCTTGCTTCTTTCTAAATTGCAAAAATTGTTCCGAATCATAAGTGTGGTGAAAGGTCAAAGACATCTAATTACCGCCCAGCATCTCTTCTGACTGCCCTCAGTAAAATACTAAAGAAATCAATATGCCTCAAAATTACATCTCTTAATGATAAGAACAAACTTATGCGATTGCCATTTGGGTTTAGACAAAGCTATTCATTTGTCCAATCAGTTCAAAAATTCCCAGAGTCCATCAAGAAGAAAATTGACGAAGTTTATAAAGTTTGCAGCGTTTTTTTAAAGATTTATCTAAAGGTTTTGATACAGTCAGTCAGAAGATACGGATGTATAAGCTTAACTAAATGGGCATCAGGTGAGTTGTTGGCGACTTTATTAACTCTTATCTCAGTAAACGTCAGCAATTTATTGCTATTGGGAAGAAATTTTCTTAGACTTCACATATATCAATGGAGGTTCGGCAGGATTCAGTTTTGAGTTCTCTACGTTTCTTATTATACCTTAATGATATGTGATATGGCGAGTTGCTTTTCGACACCATATGCCTCTGTGGGTTTGTATGCAGAGGATAGCTGTGTAACTGTTTGTTGAAAACAGGACCCGAA